CTTGACGATGAAGGCTGAACTCTGTTTAACTGGCGGGGAGAGGCCTGTCTCTGATCCTCACAGATGGACACATCTATCAGCATGTCATGTAGATGTCAGTTAGAGCTGACTTATGTTTTTCCTCAGCTTTGGCAATTACATAATGATTATGTAAATTTATCTCAGGGCTGTTAACTTGTAATGAAGAAATAAAATATGTCCTGTGCGTGTATCAGTTTGCAAGATGTATAATGACAGTGTCTTTTCTCTCAACAGCATGGCATGGGAATCCCTTCCATTTCTATCATGCTTCACGAACTCATCAAATTACTGCACCATGCCCAGTGCTGTGACGTGACCATTATCCGAATTGGTACATCAGGGGGAATAGGTGAGACAGTTTGATTTCCACTATTAAAATCCAAGTGATTGTACCATGCAGAGTATGGTAATCAATTGCCAAAATACACCAACATACTCAGGGCCCAGCAGAAAACCAGGTGGGCTAAGATGTGTCAGGAGGCTGGGCTTGAGGACATTTAAAGAAAAATTTTTTTTTTAAAATTAAAGAAATATTTCCTTTTTATCTTCCTCTTTTTTTTTCTCCATGGAAACCTGGAGTAAGAGATCCCACTGCCTATTGCCCAGATGGACTCGGGTGTTCTTAAGGGGACGAGTGGAAGAATTTCTAGGAAATGTGTTCTGAGGATAAGAGTAAGTTTTGAGGGTTACAGTAATTTTGAGGTGTAGGAATTTTATAAGTGACAGAAATGAGTGCTTTCAAGTAAAAAAAAAAATCATCTCTAATACCTGCCTTGTTCGTCAAAGCCGATTATATAGCTTTTAGGAAAATATTGCTTTTAGCTCTTGTCAGTGACTACACCCCTTTTCTTGGCTGGATTTTTTCCTCATCAACACACCAGAAGAGGCCCAGCCTGGTAATGCTTCCTAAGGTTTTCCCAAAGCTTCCCCTCCTCCCTTCTTTCTTAGATGGTCAGGGGCCTTGTTTATGCTTCCACACTGAGCTGAAGTCAAGTTCTGAGGAAACCTCCTTCTTTTTTCAAGCCTTTCTTCAGGAGCAGACCTTGGGAGGTGGTGATTTGATTATGTCACCAGATGCCAATACAGACAAAGCTTTGTAACTGGAAGGGCTTGGCTGACAGGATCATAGGACTGAATGGGAATTATAAAAAGAGCTGAGAGTTTGGTCTTAGAACTACACATTTTTTGGAGCAAGAAGGGCCCTCAGAAAAACTAAACTGGACAAAAACTTAAAAAGTGACTTGTCCAATATCATAGAGCCACAGGTAGCTGGGCCACACTTCACTAGAAACAGGGATGTTCAAAAAGATTAGGCCTTTCCCCAGCTGTGGTACAGAAATAGTCAAGCCAAAGCTCTCGCAGATGACGTTTAAAAAAAAGACATGTGTGGAGGTCCATCCAGAAAGACAAGGAGAAAGTTAACCATCATTGTTAGATCAAGCATCCTTCTGGGTGCCCTTATTTTGGCTTTTAAAAGACTTTAACCAGGAAATAAATATTCTAATGCATCTAAATATTAGGATGACACGTGAATAACATCATTTGCGATGCCCACATTTTCAACCCCCTTCTCATTTTCGTATTCTTAGAACACGGTAAATAATTCAAGGAGCCACTAGTTTGACTTATTTAAAAAGTATCTGACCCACCAAGGCTCTATCCTCAGA